GTGTTTGTAGCTTCTGTTAGCTTCTTGACGCAGCTCCGTTCTGCTACTGGTAGCTAAAATCACGATACCCTCACTTTGTATCCCTCTGAAAAATGAACCCATTTAAATAAAGAAATAAAGAAATCCCTCCATGGTGATACCACGATAGAGAGCGTTCATTTTATAGCGATAACACCGGAGCTGTAAGTGGTCCGGTATGAAACGGGTGTGATAGAACAACGGAACAACAGGACTTTTAAATTTCAATAATCAGAATGCAGAAATTGTTTCCGTTGTTTTAAAAGGTTTATGTCAGTTTGCCTTTTCACTATCGCTTCCCGACCGCCCTGCACCTTAGGGGCTTAAAAAATAAAAAAAGACACGCACATTGCGCAAAACTCTGAAACAGGAGAAGCGGGACATGAAACGGAGCAACAAACTAGATGTGAATTATGGCATAAAAACAGAGAATCCGACGCTGAACAGTGAAAAATCAACACATGATGTGAAACATGACGATTAGGCGGTGCAGCAGGTGATGAGTGAAGATTACTCATGGTGAGCGTGCCATGTGGGTGAAATTTTATGGATGATACTCTGATGTCCCATTCTCCTGAAGGCAGCACAGAGCTGCACCACCAGAAACCGACAAACACTGAAGAGAAGAAGAGCTATGATTAATGTAGTTACAGTCCTATCCATGTTTTAATGCTGCAGAGCTCAGTCGTTTTGCAAATAGTTCAAAGTTTAAACTGGCATGTTGTTCATCTTTTATCTGCTCATTTTGTGGAATATTTAACAAATAGAAAATGGCACAAAATAAGAATATTTTTTCCACTCTGGCTGCTGTTCAGCCTACTGATTTTAACTTGAATGTTCATTGCATTTTTCGTAGACGCCTGTGAAAATAATTTCTATTCTCATGGCTTTTTTGTTCTCTGGGAAATTATTTTTGATGGTAAATACAGAAACAAGCATAAAAATCACAACATCTACAATAGTGATAGTAATATTAATAATAAAATAATAGTCAGTGCAAAGTAGCCTACAAATTCTTTGGTGGGGGGCGGTGAGGGACCTGGATAAAGGCTTGGGGGGCGCTGGCACAAAAAAAGTTGAGAAAAACTAATTTAAAGATTTTAAAGCAGATTTACAGCGTATATCTGCGTATAGCACTACAACACCACAAACTATATACCATTAGTTTCACTTTATTTTGGGAGCTATTTATGGGACTTTAGAAAAGAAATGCTCAAAGTTGCATATAATGAATAAACTTGGGAACACTAATGCAACCTAGCTGTCACCAAACACTCCCAGCATCCAATACAGAAAGAAAGAAGGTAGGGAGCAAAGACAAAAAAAAAAAGAAAGGAACAGAGAAAAAACAAAGAAAGAAAGCAAGAAAAAAGAAGCCAAGGAAAGAAAGAAAGGAAGAAATCTAAAGAAGAGTTAATTTTCCCTGCAGGTTGTCTCCTGCTGAAGCTGATGTGAAGGGGCACTCAGCTCAGAAGATGTGGGATTGCCTTCACAGTCATATGCTTGCTTTGGAGGACAGCTGGCTGCTTCCTACATCTGAGGTAAGCCCTTCATTGTGAGAGATGAGGAGCTTGATTATCACTTTTCAAACAGAAAAAGAAAAGAAAAATCGGTGTTCTTGCCATTCTTGATTATCACCTTCTTTGAACAGAAGCCACTTTGTTCTCCCATTGGTGCTATGGAAGCTCCTCCAGGGACTGATTAGACTTTGTGTGTGTCTTTGACTTTCCGTCAGATGTTTCTGTCTTCCTTCTCATGCATGTTTTTTTTTGTGCACAAGACTCTCTCTCTCTCTTTGAAGGTGACAGACTCATCTATGGAGATGGAACAGCAGGACACATGATTGGCACAGAACACCTGAAAGAGCTCCAAAGCCCCGTCAGACATCTGAGAGAGCTGGAGTGCACATCTGCAGAGCTAGCGAATCAGGTGAGGATTCGCTATCAGGCTGTTTATCAGACAGTGGAAAGAGTCCCACATTCACAGTCTGTTGAATGTGAGTGATGCTCTTCTCAGGACCAGTGACCACAAATGAGACTGAGGATGTTTTCAGTAAAGTTTCAATTTTTTTCAGAATGCAAATGCACAAGCTTAAATGAAATATCCTAAATGAAGTTTCATTATCCACATTTCTTCCCCAATTTGTTTGTTATTTTGTCACTACTGATGCTTTATGTTTTCTTTTTTTTTTCCTAGTAAGTTTGGTGCACTGGCCGAGCCACCTTTCCGGTGACCCCCCCAGCCCCAGCCACAAAACTGCCCATATCAGAAACTGCCACTCCTGTCAGGTTCTTATTGATATTATATTATTATATTATCAATCTAACATTTAAATTAATCATATTATATTATTCATATATTTAATAATCAGATTAATCACCTTTCCGGTGAAAGGATTAATAATTAATAATCAGATTAAAAATAATTAATAATTAGATGAATAATCTGATTAATCGTAATCTTAATCAGAACATGATAAAGATCTGATTAATCATGATCTGATTAGATCATGAACACAAAGAATAAGAAGTATTAGAAATCCTCTAGTTGCACTATTGTTATATGGCATTTTTGATTTAGTCAACATCAATAAGTTAACAATAATTATATATTTTTTTTACACATTTAGAGTTAGATGAAAACAAATCTTTGTGAAGTTATGCTTCTGCAATAAAAGATACATTTATTTTTAAACTTTCGGTTTGACTTTTCTTATTTTTTGATTATTTATCCCTCCTGTGTCATCCTTCCCTTTTAATTGGTTTCAGCTGTTTGTCATTTCCGATTTCCCCTTGTGTGAATATATTCCCTGCTGGATCCTTGTGTCTTCTCTGACCATGTGTTTTTGGAGTATTAAATTACTTTGAGGTCTTCCATAACACTTACCAGATCATGAAAATTTGTCAGTTTCTATAACGTAAGAAAACAATCCTAGAAAATCAGCAACATCAGTGTTGGTTTTTTTTTTTTTTTTTTTTTTTGTTTTTTTTTTTTTGCCATAAGATAACTATAAACAAATTAGTAAGAAACAGATTAATTGCAAAATAGGTTAGCCTTCAATCTAATGTTCTGTTTTTCTCTGCTGGTCCTGACTTCATCTGCCTCAGGTGAGGAAACAATGGGAGGAGGATTGGATCTGGTCTGAGTCTGTTCTGAGAAATATTGAGACAAAATTTTCAAGATGAAGGAGGGGGTAAATATGAGGAGATGGTATCACAGAACTTCTGTATCAATAAGGTAGTTTTTCATGAGTGTGCTCTTTCTGACCATCTAATTTAACATCAGGCAGCAGACTGGAGCACAGCTGCCAATGTTCCATTCAACTTATTTGGAGTACACTGGGAATGCCAGCCACTCTCTGCTTTGTGTATTGCACTCAAAACCCAATTGGTTCAATTAAATCAAGCCAGAAAGGGTTGTTTTGTGTAGGGATACATGATGTTTCTTAGCCCTGATGTGTATTATTAGTGGTAATGAGAACACTGGCTACATTTCAGTTTTGCTTCTTGTACCCTCTTGTTTTCCTTGTAATTGGCTGTGTGTGTCCTGTATGACAGATAGAAGCTGATTCTAGAATTTTAGTTAGATAATGATTAAGGCCCCGTTTACACGACAACGATTTCGGGGGAAAACTTAAGA